TTAACTTTGAAACATAATTGAATTTTATGAGAAGAATTTTTTTACTTTTAAAAATAATTGAATTTCTACAATTATTTGCAATTTCTCCAAAATTGAATTTTTTTTAGTATTTTCAACAAAAATTTGAATTAAAAATTTTTAAATTCTATTATTTTTAAAATTGTTAATTTTATTTAAAAAATGAAGTGAAAAGTCAGCCGCGCGCTTTAGTGCGCGAATTGTTTGCTGGTTATATATTAATTCAATTTATGTTTATTTTTTCAGTTTTTTATTTATTTAATTTTCCAAACAATTTTTTGTTTACTTATTTTTAAAATTGTTAATTTTATTTAAAAAATGAAGTAAAAAGTCAGCCGCGCGCTTTAGTGCGCGAATTGTTTGCTGGTTATATATTAATTCATTTATGTTTATTTTTTCAGTTTTTTATTTATTGAATTTTCCAAACAATTTTTTGTTTACTTATTTGTTTATTTACTTGTTTTTTTATCTAGTTTTCCATTTATTTATTACTTTGTTTATTTACTTTCTTAATTTTTTTATTCATTAACTTATTTATTTCTTAATTTGATGCTTTGTTTATTTATTTATTTATTTAGTTATTAATTTAATTATTTGCCTTAGAAATTTTTGATATTATTTTATTATTTTACAAAATTTATAAAGAAAAAAATCCTTTCGAACTGGGAATCGAACTCGCGGACATCAGCTTCATACTGCGCTTTAAGGCTCTCAGCCATTCTGGACAAATAATTTTTTATTTATTTTTTGGTTTATTTAATTATTTCGATTTCTACTTATTTATTTGTTTCCTTATTTATTTAGTTACTTGTTTATTTGCTTAATTTTCTAAATTTTGTAATTTTTACATTTTTTTATTATATTTTTATTATTATTATATTTTTGTTATTATATTTTTGTTATTATATTTTTATTATTATTATATTTTTGTTATTATATTTTTATTATTATTATATTCTTGTTATTATATTTATATTATTATTATATTTTTATTATTTTATTCCCATTTTTATATTTTTAAATACTATTATATTTATAGTTTGCGTAAAATAATTTTTCATTCTAGAAAATAAGTGTTTCAAGGTTAATTGGATTTTGATCTTGAAAAAAATCCTTTGCGTAGCTAAACAGCTGCGAAATTACCTGGCAAATACTTGGCATTACTTTCACTATTACTTTTTCCGTTTCTTGTAAAATAGATTGCCTCTGACGAGAGCTAGCTTAAGGCTAACTCAAGGCTAGCTTCATCTTTGATGATACTTTAAAGATGCTGGAAATTATTATGTAAGATGAAGAGATTTTTCACTTTTATACAAAATGATATGACTTTCCCCGCTTTAAAAATGCAAAAGAAAGAACTGTATACTTTTATAGCATTTTTTTGCTCTTGAATTTTTCATTTTTTTTTCTGTTTCCAAATTACATATTTGAAAATATTAATTTGTTCCTCCTTTGAATTTATTTTTTTTCTTATAAATAACAATTGCAACTATTTTTTCGACGATTATAGAAGAAGAATGTAATTTTACCCTAGGCCTCGCTACTAGGCCGATTTTATTTTATTTTTTTTAATATAAAAATATTATTTGGAACAATGGAAATTTATTATTTTTGCAAATGTTAATTGCAAATACCTAAAAAAAATATTAAATATATTTCTGAGAGAGTAAAAAATAAGAACCTTTTTTCTCACTCAATTCAATAATTTCCTTCTAGAATCTAGATAAATGAGGAAAGCAAACAAAAAAAAATTTCCTACTATCCTAAAAGGGTTCTAACTTTTCAGTTCCATATAAGTATAATAAAAATGTGTTCTCCAAAGAAACTTTTCGCACGAATCATCAAATAATGAGTAGGAGAATTAAATGAATGATTGCCTCTACGCTCGAAGGAGACCAACAACGTCGAATCGAGTTTAAAGATTCGTTTGGATTGTAGGTTATATACACTCTACTCATGGTAGACAGAGGCACACGTTTAACTTTTCTTTCGAGATGTATGGTTCGTACGTGTTGTTCGAATGATGTTGGTAGTTTTGATGCGGGAAGAGAGGGGGAAGGATATTTGCGGACAAACATAAACGAGACTCAAAGGAGAACACACTTGGGACTTACTTAGAGGCATTTTTGTCATGGAAGTGGGGGAAGGAAGGTAGAGAGAGAGAGAGAGGAAGAGAGACGAGGGAAGTGGACCCAAAGAATGAGGGAGTGGGAGTTTAAGGGCCCAAAGTAGCAAAGCATGAGAGAGAGGGAGGGGAGAATCTGAGGCAATGCTGTGGCCGATTGACCCGCGACTTGAGACACGTATGGCCCGTTATACCCCCAAGGGTCACGTGTGACGCAATAGAGAGGTCCCAACGCTGTTCCTATTCTAGCGGTCTTCCCCCTCTCTTTGTTCTTTTTTTCTCTTCTCTTCTTTTCACAGAACGATAAAGAAATTAGAGAGGGGAGTATAATCTTTTTTAAGAGGCAACGGGCCCCCCTTTCTCTCTCTCTCTCTCTCTCTTTCTCTCGTTAAATATAACAATTATTAAAACAATAATTAATACTACTAACAATAATAAATATTTCCTTTAATTAATAATAAATAATATAAATAATCTTCGTATTTTATTAATATTATATTATTAATTAGTTATTAATTCATTCATTCAAAATTATTTTCATCATTTCTAATCAATTATTATTTCTTAGAATTTTTAATTAGTTTTTACAAAAATAATTAAATTAATAAAAAAAAATTTTATTATTTATGAAAACAATTGAATTATTGTGAAGAAATTTATAAAAAAATTTGTAAATAATTGAATTCCTGGGATAATTTTATTATTTATGAAAATAATTAAATGTTTGCGTAGAATTTTATTAAAATTTTTTTTAAATAATTGAATTTTGTTTTGCAAATTTTATTAAAATAGTAGATATTGAAAATCATTGAAATAAAAAAAGTTTTGAAAATAATTGAAATTAGGAAAAGAATTTTATTGAAATTTTTGAAAAGTAATTGAACTTTGAGGAAGAATTTTGTTATTATTTAGAATGAAAGTTGGGATTTTGACAAAAATTTTTTTTTAATTTTGAACATAATTGAATTTTATTGACATTTTTGATAATAATTGAACACTGCGGAAGAATTTTGTTATTTATAAAGAAAATTGTTATTTTGACAAGAATTTTTTTAAAATTTTAAACATAATTGAATTTTATTGACATTTTTAAAAATAATTGAACTTTGGGGAAGAATTTTGTTATTTATAAAGAAAATTGGGATTTTGGAAAGAATTTTTTTTAAATTTTCAACATATAATCATCTCATTTGCGAGAGAGTTTTTATGCCATCTGAACGGTAGTTTACAGAACTATTTCGGCGCGAAATTCAAAATGCGCTAATTTCTCAATCTTGAATCTTAAATCAATATTGTCCGAATTTTGCGAAAATTGAATAATATTGTATACCTATTTTAAGAACAAATAAATGAAGAATAATTTATTACATATTATTAAAAATATGTAAAGAGAATGAAAAATTGAGTGTAATTTTTTTGCAAACTGTTATGTATCGGGAAAAAAAGAGAAGTGTCGTAAATCATTAATATAATCCTATAATATAAACGTTCGAAAGGTTGTTAACTTGGATAATAAATTGCGAGAGGTTTAGATACTGTGCTGAAAGATATCTTAAGATTGACCCTGTTTTTGAAAGGAAGTAGAGATTTGTCAGTAGTAAATTATCCGTTTTCTTGACATTTTATATAAAATGTATTATAATTATTATATTATAATTATTATATTAAAATTATATTATTACGTTTATTATAAATATTATTATAATTACATTAATCTAATTACATTATTATTAACACACTATTATAATTAAATTATTACAATTATATTATTTAAAAAATATTTCTAAAATTATAAATTTTAATAAACCTTTTTCATTTATAAATAATATTTTGTTCTTTTTCATAATTTATTTCTATTCGTGATTGAAATTATGTTCATTCTTTTTAATAAAATTATGTTAATTCTCTTTAATAAAATTATGTTAATTCTCTTCAATAAAACTCTGTTAATTCTTTTTAAGAAAATTGTGTTAATTCTTTTTAATAAATATCATTTATGACGAACCTTTCTAAATACTATTGTATAGTTTGGTTCAAATTCCCATAATGAATAATAAATTTATTTAAGGAATGCTTCAATAATAATTTTTTTAGAGAGTTAATATTTTTTTCAGAAAATTCCTCTATTGCTAATAAATTGATCTGGTAAAATTATTAACTATACCTTTCAATATTATTCTAATTACAGTTTGTACATTAATTTTCTTTTCCCTTTAGAATTACAAGAGATCATGTTCACCTGAGGCAAACGTCAGTGTGTTAATTTATATTAGACAGGAGTACAATTTAACTCATTATCCAATTTTTCTTTGTGTGTAATTACACCGCGAGTTTTTAATTATAATTCTATTTTTAATTACCAGGAATTATAGTAAAAACTATTATATAGAACTGCTATTTAATAAAACAAGGAATCTACAAATACTACACGTACTTTAAATAAGGCATGAATTTTTTATATCTCTATTTAAATAAATAAATAAAAAAAAATTTTTTTTATTAAAAATATTAATTTTCATTATTTATTATTATAAATAATAAATTTATAATTTTTATATATTAGTAATTACTATATTGTTGCTGTTGATATAATTAATTGTTATTGGTTTGTTATTATGTTATTGTTGTAATTAATTGTTCTTAATTTGTTATTATCGTTGTTGGTCGTTTGTTAAATTGTTATTTATTTATTTATTATTTATTATTTTTCAAAATAAAGGATGTAAAAATAAATTTCTAATAAAAATTTACAAAATAGGAGTTGTATTAATTTATCAAAACATTGAAAGAGAATAAATTAACCGGTATATTAGGGACATTATTGACGAGAAAAAGACGTAAATAATTATTTACTCACCCCCTTGAAAAGGAGACAGGCTAAAACGAGAATATGTAACCGCATGCCGCGTTGACGTCCACGGTGACCCAATATGCGCACTGTTGGAAAAAATTGAAAAGAATAAGAATTTATCATTTTTTTTCAATTACAGGAATCGCGAAAGTAAATAAAAATGCCTTGAGAAAAGTATTAACAATAATAAATAATATTTAAACGCATTTTGTTTATTACGAATTTATTCATTACTATAATTTGTATGTTACAAATTCATTTATTAACAATTAGTTTAATATGGATTTATTTCTTGACAATTTGTTTATTACATATTTTTTTATTATGAATTTATTTATTGACAATTTCCTTATTATGGATTTATTTTAAGCTAATTTGTTTATTACGATTTTATTATTTTCCAATTTTTTTGTTATGAATTTATTTATTACATATTTATTTACTACCTACTAATTAATTTATTATTACATTATTTTTTATTAATTTATTTATTGCCAATTTGTTTATTATGGATTTATTGAATACTAATTTTTCCATTACGAATTAATTTATCACCAATTTGTTTGTTATGAATTTATTTATTGATAATTTGTTTATTATGGACTTATTTATAGCAATTTATTTACTATAAATTTATTTAGTAGCAATTTGTTTAAATTATGAATTTATTTATTATTAAATTGTTTGTTATAAATTTATTTATTGCCAATTTGTTTATTATGGATTTATTTAAGACTAATTTGTTTATAACAAATTAATTAATTTCTAATTTGTTTATTATGTATTAATTAAATAGCAATTTATTTATTACCAATTTGTTTATTATGGATTTATTTAATAGCAATTTATTTGTTACTCATTTGTTTATTATTATTAAAACAAATAATATTAAAATATATTATTAATTATTACTTTCTCGGTGGTTAAAACACTATTGTTTAATTATTTTTAAGCAAAAATCTTAAATTATTTATTAATTATTAATTGTTTATTAAGTTATTAAGATTAAAAAATAAATTAAAAATTTACCTATTATTTTAACAACCTGGTAATAGCACGAAATTGAAAATTTTGAAGTAACCACTATTTAGTTGTCACATTTATTCACTAAAACTACCTGCAATCATAAAAAATACAATCATTTATTAATATATATTGTATAATTTGTTAATTAAATTTTTATTGCTAATTAAATTATATTGTTAAGTTAATTATTGTTTATTTAATAATATTGTTAGTAATTGAATATTGCTAATTAAATTTATGTTGTTAAATTAATTTTTGTTATTTATAAAATTATAATTTTAGTCAATTAAATATTGTAAATTAAATTACATTTTGAGTAATATTAGTTATTGTTTAATTTAAAAATTTAATTGGATTAAACGAAAAAAAATCAGAGGTCAAGAGAAAAGGAAAAAGAAAAAAGTTATCAAATTGCCTTTCTAGCAAAATGTTGTCCATTATTATTATGTTTTAACATTAAAATGGACACAAGATTTATTTTGAAAAATACAATTTACTTGACCATTGTGGATAAGTTGGTGCTGTAATAACTATGAAGTCTGTTAATGGTACCGGAAAACCACAACGAAACGCGCAAATGGAATTGGAATCTGACAATGTATTATATACATTTTTGAAATTATCGATATAAATTATAGCAATCGTCTATTATCCTTTCAATATATAAATCTCGTTTCAACGAAATTACATTTCAAAAGTTAAATCAAATCTTTAATAACATTAATAATTTCCAATTCCGCCGAAAAGTATACAAAAAAAAAAAAAAATAAATAAATATTTATTGGAATGTTTCTTTTACAAATAGTTCGCGAAATAGAATATTTATTATAATCTTAAATAATGAAGTTTTTTTATTCTTTAAAATAAAAAATTATGTTAATTTTTCAATTAAATAAAACTTTATAAAACAGACCAAAAATAATAAATCGTTGATTTTAGTTAATCGTTAATTTTAATGATTCGTTAATACTAATTCACCGCTAATATTAATTTCAATCATTAATCTTAATTAATAATTATTATTTAATTAGCTAATGAAAAAAATGTTGAATTTTTTTTTTTCTAAATAATTACTCAATCATTGAATAAATATAAAATAATTTTTATTGGTAAATAAAAAAAAAATTTCATTGTTTGTTGAAAATTATAACAATTAATATAATTAAAAATACAAAAAAAAATCATCAGTATAAATTTTTATAAAATGATGAATGATATTTTGTCCATCTAATTGATTATGCGCATGTACGTATTAAAGTTACCCATTCAACTTGCCGGCTCAAATAATTTATAATCAACTTCCATAATATATGTTTCACTCGTAAGAAAATTAATTTAAACTTTTATTTTGTTTAACGAGCTATGTTAGATAAATAATTCAATTAATTTGAAATTACCCGCAATTTGTCCAGTGATACATAATAATCTATTACTTGAATATCACATTAAATTTAATGGATAATAGTAATTGAATCAATTTATAGAAAATCATTAAAATTGCGCAATAAAAGAAATTTTGAAAAAAAAAGTTTGAAAAAAAATTTTAATATTCAAAAAAATTATTCAAGAATTTTAAACATTCACTAATTAATAAATTGTATGGAAAACTATTAATTAGCACTAACTGTAAAATAATTATATAGATTACGATATGAATATTATAAGTAACGAAGATATAATTAATTATTATTTTATTTAATTAATTATTAGTGGCGATAGTTAATTATTAGTGACGATAATTATATAATTACATTATTAATTATTAATAATAATTATAACAGAAAAGTTTTTTTAATACCTAATTTTAATTATTAAAAATAAAATAAATTAATTATCATTATTCTTTATTATTAAATAATTTTTTTTATTTATCAATAAATGGAATTAATTTAATATTGTTTAATTTAATTCTGATTTTAAACTAAAATAATAATTATTAATAATTACAGATATAAAAATATATAATTAAATTAATGATCAAATAATAATTAAATTAAATGAAAATTATTAGGCCTTTTGAAAAATTCTTAGAATAATGAAGGTAAAAGTAAAGTAGATCCGAATCGTAAAGTCGTGTTTTTCGTGGAACGATCTGTGAGCCTATTTAATTTATTCGATTTGTTAATTTCTAACAACAATTACCCCCCCCCCCTCAAAAAAAAAAAAGAACAATTCATTCAGCATCTCTGTAGTTTGAGCATTGATTATCGCACGCCTCTCCCAATAGGCCACTGACATTCATGCCCTAAATTCCTTTCGTTGTCCGAGTTTTTACTCCGTTACCTTCGATGCGCAGAAACCGTTTTTTTGAATAAATTTTCGAATGTACGACGTGAATCTTCAAACCAATATAACGAGAATTTCCAATCGAATCTCAAATTCTGAAAACAAATGCTCGACTTTCTCAATATCGTAAAAATACATTTCATATTTACATATATAAATATTCCCCCCTATATTTTCAAAGTTCTATATATTCTGCGCATTCGCGTCGATAAATATAATCATCACAAAAGAAATCGAAAAAAGAAAAGTACAATTTACTCATCGTTATTTTCAATTTTTACCTGTAAAAATTTCAATTCTCTTATGTAAATATTTAATTATTTTTTATAGTTGATTCAAAAGAGTGGAGATTCAATTTTCAACCAAATTTCGGTTCTTATTTTTATACAGGTTAAAATTTAAGAGCCAATTGGGTCTTAATTTTCTGGCAGTATGAATTTAACACACAATTGAGACCCAATCAATTTGGTCTCAATTTTCTACAGTTGAAATTTAATATTCAGCTTTGTGTTAATTTTCTACAGTATAGATATTTTAGATTCAAGTCTTAAATTTTTCTTACAGAAGTTTTAGCTTCAGTTGGCCCTTAATTTTCTACAGAACAAATTTATGATTCAGGTGAGTTTATATTTTCTAAAATCAAAATTTTTGAATTTGGTTGAAATTTGGGTGCAATTGCTTCTTATTTTTCTACAGGTTTGATTTTAGGTATCAATTGGGTTTTCAGTTTTTCTTACAAATGTAGATTCAATTGGCTCTTAATTTTTTACAGAACAAATTAAAAATTCAATTTTATTTATATTTTCTACAGTAAAAATTTAAGACTTATTTTGGTCTTATAAATGTTTACAAAAAGTGTTTTAAATTCAATTGGCTCTTAATGTCCTACAGAGCGAATTTCTAGAATAGGAATTTTAGATTCAATTGGGTCTCAATTTTCTACAACAGAAATCACTACTGATTCAATTGGGTCAGAATTTTCTACTGTAAGAATTTAAAATTCAACTGGGTTCGAATGTTCTACTGTAAGAATTTAAAATTCAATTGGGTCTCAATTTTCTACAACAGAAATCACTACTGATTCAATTGGGTCCGAATTTTCTACTGTAAGAATTTAAAATTCAATTGGGTCAGAATTTTCTACTGTAAGAATTTAAAATTCAACTGGGTTTGAATTTTCTACTGTAAGAATTTAAAATTCAATTGGGTCTCAATTTTCAACAACAGAAATCACTACTGATTCAATTGGGTCCGAATTTTCTACTGTAAGAATTTAAAATTCAATTGGGTCAGAATTTTCTACTGTAAGAATTTAAAATTCAACTGGGTTTGAATTTTCTACTGTAAGAATTTAAAATTCAATTGGGTCTCAATTTTCTACAACAGAAATCACTACTGATTCAATTGGGTCCGAATTTTCTACTGTAAGAATTTAAAATTCAATTGGGTCTCAATTTTCTACAACAGAAATCACTACTGATTCAATTGGGTCCGAATTTTCTACTGTAAGAATTTAAAATTCAATTGGGTCAGAATTTTCTACTGTAAGAATTTAAAATTCAACTGGGTCCGAATTTTCTACTGTAAGAATTTAAAATTCAATTGGATATTGAATTTTCTACAGAAGGAATTTAAGATTCGAATCAATATTAATTTTCTACAGTATACGAATGTAAGATTTTAATTGACTTAAATTTTTCAGAGTAGAAATTTGAGAAACAATTGGTTTTGAATTTTCTATGACACACGGATTTGAGATTTTGTAAGAAAATAAAAATTTTAGAACAAATTGACTTTTAATTTTTTACAGAACGAATTCAGTTGGATCTGAATCATAGACATTAGAAATTTAAGATTCATTTGGATTTTAATTTTCTGCGCAATAATTAAAACTTATGTTTATCTTATCATCCTTAAAAATTTAATTAATTAACAAAATTTTTAATATATTTAATTATAGTACAGTATAGTATTTAGACTATTTTTGGTCTTAATTTTAAAAGCACAATATTTTAATAATCTTTTTAAAATTTCAAAGGCTGAAAATTACCAAAATATTACTTTTGTTTACTTTTTTTTTTAATTATTGTTAAATAAATTAAATTATTTTTAAAAATAATATTATCCTTCATTCTTATTTTCAGGACTGAAAAAATATTTTTAATTTAAGAATCTAGCTTAAAAAGTAAATAAAAATAAAATTGGTTCACTTTAAAAGCGACTTTATTTGAGTTATATTGATGTTTTACTTTTTACTGTATAAAGTGGCTTTACTTTCACTTTTATAGGTCACGCCGCTCGCTTTACTTCAATCGACAAAAAATTCAATTTTAATCCCGAAGAATAAAAAATAAAAATATTCGCTTAATGATTTTTTTTTAACATTGAAACTTGGCTAGATTTTGCAGATTTAGTGAAAATCCAATTGCCAATATTGGCCCAAGTTGGGCAACATGCTTCCATATTGGTCCAGTATTTTTATTCCTTATCTCTGACATTGAGGCAAAAAAACCAATTTCTATCAAAAATTTTCCCTTAATTTTTTTTTAATGGCAAACTTGTCTAAATTCTCTTCTTTAGCTAAAAAAAAAAAGAAAGAATAGTAATATTATCGGTTTATAATAATATACTTATTTTCGTTCATCGAACTTGTGATCTAAAATGAGGTCAAGGTGCTCGTTAATATATATTTGTGCCAAAAGAAGCTGGGATCTGATTAAATCGAGCGGATTCGCTAGAAATGCCCTTGGGCATCGAAAACAGCAAAAGCAAAACGATTACGGGACCTCGAGGCATTCACCATCG